TTTATTGTGTGCCTGCTCTCAGCTCTTGCAGCAATAAACGGGTAAACGCAATACCGTATTTACTCACATAATGAATGCACTCGCATAATGAATGCACCCCCAAAACAGGCACCAATATTTTGACTTTTTTTCCCCTCGCGTAATGAACGCATCTCTAATTTTTGGCTCCGCGAGTCTCAAACTGCGTCCAACCCAGCTAGCCACCAAACCAATTTTCTTTTGCTGCCAAGCGGCCAGGCAGAGTCAAGTCAAGCCAAGCCAAGCTAAGCCGCTCTCACAATGGCTGTAAGCATATAGTTGCGGAAGTGATCAACCGTGAAACCGAGCGGCGCACGCACCTAACGAAGCTGAGGTCGAGGAATTGCCCAGCCCCAGACACCCTTTGCCCATCGGATGCATCGATGTCAACAAACACGCCGTTGTCTGTGGTTCGCATTCGGACAGTGAAATCGTGACAGTGGTTAAGCCTAAGAATGATTGCATCGCTCTTCGTGCTGTGCGAGCTTCGTAGGGCGCTTTCCTTCGGCAAAAGGGACGCCAAAAGCGCCCAAGAAAATGTTTACAATTTAGAGAGCATGGTTACTGTGATGCGGTCACGATCAGTAGTGAGTACGCCTCCGTCAGTGGAGACGTGCCACAGTACGCTGCCATGTCGTTTTGGCATCTAAAATGACATTTGTGCAAAGTGTGCAAATGCAAAACTTTTACCCCCCAAATATGTGTCCATTTATCGGGGAAAAAAGTGTGTTCATTACGCGAGTAAATACGGTAGATTTTTGCAGTGCATGGCCGGTGTCCAAAAATATTCGAGACTACATAGGCATTTTTTTTGTTAAATCGTCAGCGTTCAGAGGAATCGGAGAAAGCTTCTTTGCACCTGAGCAATTCCAACTCCGCTAACATTATTACATTCGCCGATCGAGATGTCTTTCCGTGCTTTACAACTCCAATAAAGGTGCACAGACGCTAGCTTCTTCACGTTAAAAAACAAAACTGTCTTTATATTCGAAAAATGTTGTTTTCTAGTCCGCCAAATGCAATAGCTAACAAGTACGGCACGGCAAGCAGGTAAGCGCCTATGTGCGCCTTGTGGACCTCGCACAAATATGGTGCAGGGGACATGGCGCAGAAGGAGGACAAAGAGGATTGCCCTCAATGGAAAGGAGGAAAATGCGGGGAGAGTAGCAATCGTGCTACCTTTCAGTGTATAGGGACCTTAAGACAAAGCCGTGTGGTGCGTCTGTGGCACGCCTAGCGGCGAGTGGCGCGCTGCATCCAGATTCATCGCTCATCTGCTCCATGCTTCAGCTTCACCGACGCTTTTCATTCTTTTAAAAAAATGTAAGAATGTTATCCATCAGAGAAGCAAAATAAACAGTATCATGAGTTACACAAAAAAAAGCAAAAAGTATTTTCCAGCAAACAATGACACCTGCAGTTTGAAAATTCTGATGCAGACAGCCAGGCAACACGAAAACAACTGCCGGGAAAATGGACACTGAGCAAGAAAATATTGGGAACACCTAACACAAAGCAAAGTGATATCTGAAAGCAGGTGTCAAAAAATACATGACTGTGAAGATGCCAGAGCAAAGGGGGAAGGCAAAAATACTGAGTATGAGCGTGTTAGTTCCAAATTTTCCACAACTTTCGTCAATGCAGTCCCAAAGCGGCATTCAAAATGGGTACAGTGCCAATTTATAGCAAAACCTGCTGGGCAGTGCGAGGGATTCAACTAGCAACGTCCCAATCGGTAGCAGCAAGTGTTGCTTTGTATACACAGACTCTGCAATTGGTTCCCTACCAAGGCAACTGCTAAAATGAAGACATAGCACTCTACAGGGTGTCAAAATGAAAATCTTGGAAAAAGTTACTTCAGACAACTTAAGGCCCATTCACACACTTGCGTTTGCCTACGACCGACTGGAACAAGACCGGTTTTCAAGACTCTTCTGACAGCTTACGACCGGCTGCACAGCAGTGCATAAAGTTGTAAGCCCTCACAAGAGGCTTAAAAACAGGTTTCTTTGGTCATAAGCAGTCACAAGTGTGCGGACCAGCTGTTACTTCAGTACCCTAATCTGTAGCAGCTGAAAAAACAAGAATGTTAAAATTGAAACTGCCAACCTTTTTTTTTTTTTTTTTTTTTACTAATCAAGATTGAATTCTGGTGACACATTAACTTTTGGCACAATTATATCTTCTGCATAGATAAGAGTAGAATCAAAAGAAAACAATAAAAACATTTTTACAAACATATTAGACCTCGCCTCAGTAAGCACACCTCGAGCAAGTTCAAGTTTGGAACAGGAGCTAGGCCATGACCCAATGTACATTCAGTTGCAGAACACAGAGTAGCTGCTCTGAAATTCATTAAACACCACCTCCTATTTATTGACCCAGCCTCTAGATTACAGCTAGGGAAAAATCATTTCCTATGCACAAATACATTTGTGTGATGACAAATGATGGCATTCGGGCAAAAGGCTGGAGAGCAATGCCATACAGTATAGCTGTGTAGCCAACCAAGCTGGAATAATGATAGAAACTTCTTGGATATTGCTGGCATTTGAAAGGCCTACCTGCTGCAGGCTTTACGCAAATGCCCTTAAGGTTTGTTAACCTAATGCATTAGCATGTGCTCGATGAGGCAAGGCCGTTTAGAAAATGGCCTGGAATGCTCCTGCAATTTGCGAGGTTTATATGCAAAAGCGTTTTAGTGCGGTAAGCTTCACTATTAATCTGAGCAAAGGCAATCGGAACCTATCTTGCACTCAGGTATATGCATACTTTGATTGAAAAGGCATAAAGTTTTGCACGAGCTAAATGATTACACATGGGGCAGGCTAAACTTGCATGTCAACCGCAGGCATCTTGCATGTGTGCATTTGGGGCATTGTTTGCACTTGTAAGGTTTTTAAGAAGGGACAAGAGTAACTTTTTTCATTTTTTATTTATCATGCTGAAATTTAGTATACTGGTGTACTCTCACTGGTGATTTCAAATATGCAATTATAAAATTTCAACTAAGGCCTCCTCATGGGTCGTTAGAGACTAATTAAGACTGAGACTAATAATTAAAATTATTGCATGACATATAAAGCAACAAAAATAGCCTCACCACACAAAGCATGTCTTAGTGAAAGCAATTCTATAAGAAATTCTGATATATTTTGAAGAATCTTACACTAACGACCTGTAATGAGACCTAATTGAAAGTACAAATTTATTGATAACTCAGGATCTAGCAAAGCTATAGACCGTTTTACTGAAAGAGGGCGAGAGAGAAAAGGGGAAAGGGCTACCAGCACTTTCCCGCTTTCCGATTGTGTAGAAAGAGTGAAATTCCCGGATGAGAGGCTTCGCCGGTGTTGGGTGTCTGCTATGCCCGAACTTCGTTCGCACTTTCTTTTCTGTTTTAAACTCGCAAACTTAATTAGAGCCAGAGGCTTCGATGGCAATAGTCCCCCGGTCATCGGGACACCATTGCTGGGTCATAGGGTGCACAAATAAAAGCAGAAAGCATAGAATACTGTCCGAGGACATATGTAGCTTGCAAGGAATCCGGCAAGGCGAGAGCGGCTGCAATGTCTTTGAGCTCCATCGCTTTCCACATGACCCCTGTCTCCGATGGCAGTGGATTGCATCCGTAAACCGAAAAGGCGTTTCCTCAACGCCATCCTCTCGACTTCGCTTGGAACATTTCGTGAATGGAGCGCTCACCGAACGCTGTACCGCCGATGAATATAGGGTACGCTCGCAATGTGCGTGCGAGTTTTCTCATGATAACTGCTGTTTCAGCTTGTAAAATTTCGTAACTGAATTTATCTTAATAGTGATAATTTGCAGTGGTGACTGACTCGATTTTATCATCTACAACACTTAGTTGAAGGCTCATATCCGCCGCCGGGTGAGGCTGATAATTGTTGAAAACGTGGTTCTATTAATTTTCTCTTTTTAATCGCGATCTCCTGCGCGATAATAAAAAGCCGGCAAAAGCGCTCCTTGGAGTGCTGCTGGTGGGTTGTTTCCGTCGACTAAGGCGCTTTGAGGCGCTTGATAGTCGCTGCAGGGAACGTCTTGTGTGTTGCGATCTGCGTTTTTGAGCCCAGTGTGCACGTTTCTTCGTTTGAGTCATGGCATCCGCCAGTGTGGTGACGGAGGGAACAGCGGCAGCGAACATGCCAGCTATAAAAATTGGAGGTGAGTACCCAAAATATTGCATCAAATAGTAAAATAATTCGTGGCTGCTTCGAGGCTTTCTATGGTTCGATAAAAGTACATCTAGAGCGTCTTCGTCGTTCATTCACAAGGGAATATAAGAACAGGGACACGAAGATAAAAACAGCACAGCAAGACGATATGTAGCAGCTCCGGGCGTTTTCAAAGTTAATTGAGGTTCCCGTTTCGTGTATCGCTTGTTGATTACAACTAAAAGCGGCTATGTTGAAATGGGCCCATTGCAAGCAAAAATGTATAAATGGGTCATCATTTCCAGTCATGCGGAGAGCAATGGAGATTAAAAACATTCCAGCCGTACTTGCCTTGATGGATTCCATGCAAGCTACATAGGTCCTCAGACAGTATTCGACGCTTTCTGTCGTTATTCGTGCACCCTATCACCCAGCAACGGTGTCCCGATGACCGGGGGACTGTCGCCATCGAAGACCATGGCTTTAATTAAGTTTGGGAGTTTGAAACGTAGAAGAAAGCACGAACGAAGTTGGGGCACTGCAGACGCCCAACACCGGCCAAGCCTCTCATCCGGGACTTCCACTCTTTCTACACAATCAGAAAGGAGGAAAGCGCCGGTAGCCCTTTCCCCTTTTCTCTCTCGCTCTCAAAATGGCACTACCCACGATAAAACGGTCTATATGAAAACTAATTGCACATTTGAAATCACCACTGAGAAATACACCAGTATACTAAACTTCAGCACGATAAATGAAAAATAAAAAAAGTTAATGACCCTCGTTTTCCTTTAAACACTTTTTTCGATAATGGCGGATCAGACTGGTATTATGAGAAAAGGATTGGGTGCACTAATTGCACTTAAATGGCTTTTCACCTGTATGTGTTTGATTATGGCTTTGCAGAGAGAAATTTCGAGCAAAGGCTAAGGTAGAGTCACTGAATGGGTTTCCAAGTAACGCATTCCTTTTCTTTTTGCGTTTTGCCGACAACATATTCACTCTAGCCAATCATGTTTTGGCTTGGCGAACATTATTGGACGGTAGCGATCACGTGACACAAGCACCGCCAGACTCACCTACATCAGCGCTTCAAGCAGCTCTAATTGCCACCATCTTGGGTCCAGCCAATACCTGCACACACAAACGTTCTGCTGCTCATCGAACGCGCATTTACGCGCCGTCTTTTCCATGTGGTTATCGACGTCAAAAGCAAGGAGGTTGTGTACTTAGAGGCACAATGCCTGCTTGTTGCACTTTTGGGTGCAGCAGCAGGTTGGAGGATGGAAGGAGACTCTTCTGGATCCCGTTTGCAAAGAACGCAACTGCAAGACAGAGGAAGAAGGCTTGGCTGACCATAGTAAAACGGAAAGATTTCGAGCCCACTGCAAGCAAGCTTTGTGAGGTGAGTGCCGATTACACCTGGTTCATTCCGCGTATCGCAAGATGAACCAGCTCTTTCAACACGCTCCAATGCATGCCACTATTGTTTTCATAACCTCGTCGACGCATGGAGCCAAAATAATGGCGCCATGGTTTAGGTTTCAGCGCCGCGCCGCAGTTCTAGAATGAACCTTTGGAGTTTTGTTACTCTGGGAACCCATACAGTGACTAGGCTAGGGGACACTGCTTGCACTTAAATGACTTTTCACCTGTGTGCGTTCAATTATGGCTTCAAAGGAAATTTTGAGAAAAGGCTTGGGAGCACTGCTTGCACTTAAATGGCACTTCACTTGTGTGTGTTCAGTCGTGTAAATCAGATCGCTAAACTCGGCAAAGGCTTGGGGGCACTGCTTTCACTTAAATGGATTTTCACCAGTGTGCATTCGATTATGCTTTGTCAGATAGGAATTTCGAGCAAAGGCTTTGGGGCACTGCTTGCACTTAAATGGCTTTTCACCAGTGTGCATTCGATTATGCCTTCTCAGATAGGAATTTCGAGCAAAGGCTTTGGGGCACTGCTTGCACTTAAATGGCTTTTCACCAGTGTGCATTCGATTATGCTTTGTCAGATAGGAATTTCGAGAAAAGGCTTTGGGGCACTGCTTGCACTTAAATGGCTTTTCACCTGTGTGTGTTCGGTTGTGGTAGATCAAAATGCTACTCTGAGAAAAGGCTTGGGGGCAAAGCTTACACTCGAATGGCTTTTCACCAGTGTGTGTTCGAGCATGACTTGTCAGAGAAGAGTGTTGTGTAAAGGTTTTGGGGCACTGCTTGCACTTAAATGGTTTTTCACCAGTGTGAATTCGATTATGGCTTTGCAGATAGGAATTCAGAGCAAATGCTTTGTGGCACTGCATGCACTTAAATGGCTTTTCACCACTGTGCAAATGATTATGGCTTCTAAGGTGGGAATTCCTAGCAAAGGCTTGAGGGCACCACTTGCACTTGAATGGCTTTTCACCAGTGTGCATTCGATTATGATTTCTCAGAGTGGAATTTTCAGCAAATGTTTGGGGACACTGCTTGCACTTAAATGGCTTTTCACTTGTGTGCATTCGATTATGGCTTTGTAGAGAATAATTGTGAGAAAAGGCTTTGGGGCACAGCTTGCACTTAAATGGCTTTTCACCTGTATGTGTTCCACTGTGATAGATCAAATTTTTACTCTGAGCAAATGCTTTGGGGCATTTCATGCACTTAAATAGCTTTTCACCAGTGTGTGTTTGATTATGACAGGTCAGAAGGGAATTATATGCAAACTCTTGGGAGCAAAGCTTGCACTTAAATGGCTTTTCACTCTTGGACTTCTGGGTGCTGCTGAGCACTTGGGACTTAGAGCCAGACATGGGAGGATGTTGGCACTTGGATTGTTCATCACCATGGGCAGCCAGGTGGCTCACAATTGCACGTTGATCTCTGGTTACATAGCTGCAGGAACAGCATCCAAACCAGATGTCATTGGCCAACAATGCGGCTCCATCACCTAGAAAAAGATGTATGTCAATATGTATATTGACACACGTGGAAAGGACAACCAAAATAGCAACTTAGTTTGGCAAAAGAGCAGTCATTAATGCAATTTTGCCACAGCTGTAGAGTTTAATATGCTGTGCTTTGGAATTCGGTTCACAGAAGCACTTAAATGCAAATGGCACTATTAAGGGGAGTCCCCAGTGTTGAAAAGTGAAAATCCTAGAAAAACATTTTTCTACATTTTTTATATTGGTTTGTAATCACTTTACAAATCTTCCCGCTTTGAAAATCATTCCTGTCTTCTCAGAATTTTCTTCTTTTTTTTCACAAGAAAATTCTAGTCTTGAAAAGTTAAAATCTGGATCTGAATACATCCGTGGGCTGGATACCTCATTATTCAAAATGGAAAAAAACAATAATTCTGGAGACTGTTAATGTGACTTTTTCTGACTGGGCTGTGACTGTTCCAACTATGGCGGATCAGACTGAGTCTTTCTTTAAGTTATCAGTAAAGGAATTTCAACATGTGATGCAGTCATGTCTCACTATTATAGACACAATGCTATAGACACAATTTCGGGGGACCGACTCCTCCCCATGCTCCGTCTTGTGAATATTAAAGAACCCGCAGTCCAGACTATGAACTGCTAGTTTTGGGAACAAGCTGGGTAAATACATTTCATTTTTTTTTTCATTTATTATTCCCTCAGGGCCCGAAGGCATTACAGAGGGGAGTGGGCGGTCGACAGATAAAAATAACATAGTTGAACGAGGCAAAAATACAAAAAACACACACACACACACAGCAAAAACACGCGCTACGCATCATCTGTTAAAAAGTTGGTAATAGCATTCTTAAAATAAACAGTGTTAGTTATTGAGACTATATGTGCGGGAAGGCGATTCCAATCAATGGAGGTTTGGGGTAGAAAAGAAGCATTAAAAGTGGATGTGCTACAATGGGAAATCCCTACCTTTAGGTCATGGTCTACACGTGATGATATGTACGATGGTTCTAAAAACAATGCTTGACGGAGAGCGGGGTTAGAGTAATAAATCTTGTGAAATAAACATAGACGAGATATTTTTCTTCGGAGAGAGAGATCAGGTAAGGAGAGGGACGATTTCATGGAAGTTACACTGGCTGTACGATGATAGTTCGAGAGTATGAAACGGGCAGAACAATTCTGAATAGATTCGACAGCTGATGCAAGGGTGATACCGGGGCTCCAGATAGAAGCTGCATATTCCAGTTTAGGACGAACTAGGGTTTTATAGAGAAGTTTTAACGAAAAAGGAGCAAGCGAAAAGTTAAGTTTGAGATAACCCAAAAGCCTATTTGCGTTGTTAGTGACATATTGGACGTGGATATTCCAGGAGAGGTCGTTGGTTATGGGAATGCCGAGATATTTATAGGAGGACACAGAAACTAAAGTAGAATTGTTAATAGAGTAGGAAGGACAAGTGTTGTTATGACGAGATACTCTCATAGATGTACATTTAGTGTTGTTAAGCTCCATGAGCGATTCCTTGCACCATTTGCAGATGTTAATATCAACCTGAAGGGCGGAAATGTCAGAGTCGTTAACTATCTTTTTATAAATTACACAATCGTCAGCGAACAAACTAATAGAGGAAGAAACATGCACAGGAAGGTCATTGATATAAATAAAAAATAAAAGTGGTCCGAGTACGGAGCCCTGAGGGACACCGGAGTTAACAGGTGAGGGCGAAGAATTAGTGTCATTAGTTCGAACAAATTGGAAGCGATTCGTTACCAATGATTTTATCCATGTGAGGACATTGGGATCTATATTAAGGTTACTAAGTTTATGAAGAAGTAGCTGGTGAGAAACCTTGTCAAAAGCTTTTGAGAAATCCAGGAATATGCAGTCAGTCGTAGAACCCCGGTCTAGAGTGAGGTGAAGATGATGAGTTAATGTTAGCAGTTGGGTATCACAGGAATAAAACTTTCGAAAACCATGTTGAGCTGTGTTGAAAAAACAGTTGGAGTCAAGAAAATTAACAAGATGTGAATATATTACGTGTTCAAGAATTTTGCAAGGGATGCTCATTAGAGAGATCAGGCGGAAATTAATAGGATTATGTTTATCGCCGCCTTTATGAATTGGAATCACCCTCCCCACCTTCCAGTCACTGGGTAATATTCCTTGTTCGAGAGACTGGGAAAAAAGATAAGATAGAATAATGCTTGAATACGTTTTAGTGATCTTTAGAAACTTAACAGTTACATTGTCGATGCCGGCTGCCGAAGAGGTTTTAAGATTTTCAATTATGTTAGCAATCCCTTCAGATTCTATAATGACAGGATACATTGGCAAAAAGTTACAAACTGGAGCTGCGGTAAAGTTGGAGGTAACAGGGCACGAAAACGCTTTGACAAAAAACATCATTTAAAACAAAAGAACACTGATCATTTGGTACATCTACTCCGTCAGCCATTCTAAGCGCAACATCGGAGCTTTCAGTGGGGTTAACAACTTTCCAAAATTGACGGGGGTTGTTTATTAGCATAGATGGTAACAGAATATTAAAAAATGAGCTTTTAGCCTCTACAACAGCATTTTTGTACACGCCCGCAGCTAGATGGTACGCTGCCCAATGCTGTACGTCATCCTTCAGCTTGGCAGCACGAAACAAACGCTTCTTTTTATTTGAGAGCCTTTTCAGAGTCACGGTATACCATGGCGATTCAGGTGACGACGTTATGTTGCGAAGAGGTACATGTGCCTTCATCAGTGATACCACCTTATCTTTGAATAAACGCCAGTTGTCTGCGACTGAGCGCTCGGCAAAACAGTGCATATACCGATCTAAAAAGAGACTCATTTCATTGTTAATCACATCAAAGTCCGCTCTAGCATAATCGTGTATTTGCTTTATTTGTTTTGATTTGCGGGAACTGGAAATGTTTAATATAAAATGCAACAAGGAATCACTAATACCAGGCATGTAAGTCAATGAAGTAATAAGCTCGGGCGATGTTGTTAATATAAGGTCTAAAACAGAGGCAGCTGTAGTTGTAATACGCGTCGGTTTCGTAACAATTTGTGAAAAGCTAAAGTCCAAGCACAAGTTCAAAAACTCACTACTCTCCGAAGAAAAGGGACTGAGGCTAGCACCCATATCTGACCATACTATGGCGGGGTAGTTAAAATCACCCAGCAGCATTATTGGCGTATTGGGAAAACGGATCATGACTCCGTTAATGGCGTCGAGTAGGCTTGTAACAAAAGTGGCACTTTTTGAAGGAGGACGATAACAAATGCCTAAAATATATTTTTTTGTTTTTAACTGAAGACAAACCCATACAAGCTCCAGTTCAGAAACAATACTGATTTGAAATGATAATACGTTTTCCGCCACCGCGACCAATACGCCACCGCCATTTTTTTCGCCTCTGTCATGACGGTAAAAATTGAAACGTTTATGACAGTTTAATATTTCATTGTTACGTATTTTGCTTGACAACCAGGTCTCGGTGAGAACAACAACATCCGCGTCTGATGAGTCCACAATGGACGACAAGTCATCGCGGTTACGCATAACGCTTCTAATGTTAGTAAATATAACAGAAATATTTACAAGGGGTGACTCACTAATGTCGTCCGAACGCTACGACAGAGCAGGTGCTAGGTTAGAACTGCCGGTTTTTCTGAGCACCATGACGGGGTCATGAAGTCCGGAAGGAGTCCCGTCTGGCTCCAAGTTCCGCTCAGGTGGGTTTAGTTCGCGAACGGAGTCTGTGCCAGGCGCGTAGATGTAACATTTGTTGTCAACGAGTAGTTTGTCGAAACGCAATTTGATGGGCTTCCCATGCGACCTGGCGAAGTATCAGTTTCCGCCTAGCAAGGCGGACAGACGGTATATAATCCTGACTAACGGAGAAAGGGGTGCCCTTAAGCTTGAAAGCGTTTGAAAGCACCGTCTCCTTTTCTTTATAGACCATTTTTACAATAATGGGGCGATGCTTTTGGTGACTGAACCTGCCAAGACGATGCACTCTTTCGATAGCTGCTGTTGAAAGTTGGATGCCCAATTTTTCGCGACACACGTCCAGAACAGCTTTTTCCGATTGTGCCCAAGTTTCCCTTTCCCCGTCGGGAAGGCCAAAAAAAAAAGAAGATTCGACCTGCGCGCTCTGCTTTCCGTGTCATCGCAGCGCGCCCTAAGTTCTGATATCTCGGAAACCGCCGATGTTATCTGGGGATCCGATATTATGCAGTTACTTGCACTTGCTTCTTTTATTGTGGAAAGTTTGTTTTCTAAGTGGCAAACTCGCGTGGTGAGGGCATTCAACGATTCATCAGTACTACTCTGTTTTTCTTTTAACTCTCTAACCTCCTGAAGTATGCTAGTCTGGCCAGTCTGCAATGACGTGACGATGGTGAAAACTTGGTTAAGTGGGTCCTCTTGCGCTTTCGTCATAGGACCAGGGTTAGTCTCAATGTCCCCTCCGAGGAGTAAAAGTGACATATATCTAACACTTTCTACGTAGGCAGCCACACAAGCACTACCAACGCGATACAGTTCACAACATTCAAGGTACAACACTGAGCATGCCTTGGGGCCTGGCAGC